CCCCCCCCCCCCCCCCCCCCTGCCCACCCCGTCCTCCGGTTGCTTCAACAACGCGCCTGCTCTCTGTTTCGCTCACATCATGACCGCAAACATCGCACTCATGCAGGGCGTGATCCTGAAGCCGGCGTTCATCTACGGCTCTCGAGACGTGAAGCTCACCGGCCCCAAGGGCAAGGAACGCACGGTCAACATACCCTTGCAGCGTGTGGGGGGGCCGCTGGCCAAGATTACCTCCACCGGCATCGGAAAGCGAATCGCAAGCGAGTGTACCCCCCCCGCTGGCCTGGTTGATGTTTTTAGAGCCTTCCTTCTAACTTATGATTCCTTTTTGGTGAATGGCACACGACTATTGACATACATTTCATCGTTGCTCCACGAACATTTAACCCGCTTTGACGGTGGCTCCGACACGTGACATGGTGCGGTTCGGAGTGATGGTTGGTGGTGTTCCATGAATTTAGTTTTTCGCAGCACGTAAGGTGGGCCCGGGCCCACCCCCTGCGAGTTGTCGTTGCGCTGACAAGTAGATGGCCCATGCCTCCATCCCCGGGCTCTTCTTGATGTATACGTCGTGACGGAATTTCAAAACGAGGTTGTTGAGTCCGTGCCTGTTCTTCGAACAACGTTGAACGATGGTTCATGTACAGCAGTTGTACGTACGTCGACAAGAATGATCGTTCTTACTGCATCGGATGCTTGTCAGCTTGTTTCGTCTTTGAACCTTTGAAGTCCCCCTCGGATAAAACAGGGCAGTGACGACCCAAGCTATATTATCCATCTCGTTATTGTGCGGTCGTGACTTGGAAAAGGTCAACGACTCTCGCTACTGTGTCTGTGATGCCTGACTAAGTTTGCGGGCGCCCTCACACACCGCTCCGCCTTCCAAGCGCTATGTTTCTTCCTTCTCAACAAAAAAAGTTTTTGTGCTATAGTAAATAGCCGATTCGCGCTCAGACACGACAACTAGCCCGGAAGGAGGGGCGGGTCGATGTCAATAACTGCAGCTCTTTCAAAGAGCCATCCAACACACGCGTGTTACGGAGGAAAGCAGCAGCAGTAGTATTACCGTCTTCAAGGCAAAGAAATACCCCAAGTATGATGGCACGAGCGTGCGTATGACTCCGCCCCCGTTGATGTAGTGCGCTGACTCCTCAAACCATGTCCGACAACGCGCAGGATCTGGTCTTCCCCTCGCCGACGTTGCGTGGACCCAGCCGCTGAGCACGGCCGAGGTGGCCAAGTCCGCCGTAAGGTGCTGCCTTGAAGGCACAGACTCTCTGGGCGGGGGTAGGGGTAAGGACTCTGGGGATGCCGTCGTCCTCAAGGTCCAGGACATGGCTCAGATGACGGCGTGACCCTGTGGCCCCACTCGCATGCATGTCATTGGCCGACAGCCACAGCCCCATGCGAGAGCCGTGATCTCCAGAATACTCTTGTTTGACGTCGTTGCTGCTCTTGCCTCTTGTCGTCGTTGAGTTGATCTCGCGAGGTATCGGTCGTTGCAGAGGGAGGGTGCCTCTTGGGAGAGGTCTCCTGGAGAAGTCTAGACGATATGTATTCGGGGTGTTACGACACTCACCCCTGGCGCCTCATCCAACTACTACGCTTCGGAAACAAACAAGAACCCCAAGTCGTAGATGTCCTTGTGCTTGATCAGTCAATAAGGCGTGGAAGTAGGGACGAATCCGCGCAAGTATCAGTGAGAGGCAGGTGTGAATAGGTCAGACTTGGAGCAATGGCCATGGCGCACGAATACCAAAGAGGGAAAAAACAGAATGGGAAGGCTCTGGCCTTGTAGCCACAGGCCGTGGTGCTCTGAGGACCGCCTGTGTCGTTGGTGTTGAGCGCGCGCCGTTCCGTCGTGTCACGAGAAGGATGAGTGTGCGTTCAATGATCTGCGCCGCCGCGGGCCTCTTGTCCGTGCCGCATCAGCGCACAAGCCAGAGGGCGATCGGGGTTGGGGTTGGGCGGGGGGGGGTGTACTCATAGTCGTGCATGCCGTAGTCGTTAGACCATTGACCTCGCATCCCTACAAAGCCGGGACGGAGCACGCCGGGTTCTCACCGGACCAGGCTCTCACATCACCAAGCGCGAAGCGCCGTGAGATATTCGGCGAGTCGCATGAAGGGTGCGCTGCATCCTGCTAAGGGTTTTCGGCATCTTGTGCTTACTTCCTTGCATACGGATGACAGCTGCGTATGAATTAAATTTATTTTCTGGTGCTTTCACTTCCAGAGACAGTTGTAAGCACTGTGTAACTGCCTCGAGGGTGCTTGACCATTTCAACACAACGTGGTGCGATCATCCCCCTTGCGCGGAGCGGGTTCTCCACCCCGCACAACATGATCTACTCGACCACCATTATTGTTACCGCCAAAAAAAAAAAACGGAGGTAAAAAAAAAAACCGGTAACCTGGTTGCCGAGTTCACGAAGTGAATTGGCTTGTTTTACAACGTCCTTGCCAAGCGACGAAAACCCACTCCCGATGGCAAACACCGGGGGGGCCGGCTTGTTTTACAACGTCGTTGCCAAGCGACGAAAACCCAATCCCGATGGCAAACACCGGGGGGGATGGGGTTGGGCAGGGGGGGGTTATCCTTGAGAAACGTCGGTCGGTAGTGCGGAAACGTGAAGAGCAACATGAGAGAACGTGACGAACAACGACGTGCCTGTACAAGAATGCTTCCAAGTACGCGAGGAAACAGGAAGGATCGTCCATCCATGTGGTTTGTAGGTAGTTGTGTGGTGTACGGTGTCTGCGCTTTCTTGGGTTGGAGTGAAATGAAAGGTACGGCCGGGCAGATTTGAGCAAGAGTGTCATCGAACGTAGATAGCAGTGTTGGTGAGTAGGTTGGGATAACATTTTGGCCTAAAAGGAACGGACGAGATATCGGTTTCGGCACCCGACGCACGAACGATGTACGTGTTCCAGTGAATTGACGACTCTCCGTTGCAAAGCCGCTGATGCGCGGATATTGTCACGATAGGGACAAAAAACCGTTGAGATTCGTGTCCAGCGCCGTGGGATGCAATGAATGAAACATTGCTGATTGATGATGTTGCCATCTTTTGACCGTCTTCAGATGCCGAGAGATGGGTATCACCCTGGCTTTCCTACCCTCCCCCCAACCCCGTGTCAGCAGCAGACAGAGCCTCTCAGTGCGCACGCATGACACCCATCCATCCATCTCTTTTGTAGCCTCTACCTCGGATCGTATATTCTTTCCCTGTGAGCCCCTCCCTCTTCGTTGTCGCTCTGAACGATTTTGCTAGGTTTGTGCCATGAAGGAGGATTGATGGCATTCGTCGAGAAAACATAAACGAAAGATTAAGATTGGCACAAAGTGAAATTGTTATCGATGCCTCTGTCTGTGTTCGCACTGCTCCCAAGTTATTTTATGCCGCCCTCAAGCAGCAACAAACATCTCCACCACCGCCGTACAGGAAAAGGAGATTCCCCTCCAGTTGCCTGCAGTCCTGCTGCAGTCCCACGAAAATGCCTGTTTGGGCGATGATGTACATGAACATGTGAGTTAAAGTATTGCGTCGTTTGTGTTACCGCGTGGAAAATCTTCACCAGAGTAGTCTCATGCGGAGACTACGATGCATACATTTAGGAAAATAATTACGAACAACCACGACTACCCTTCGAGAGACATATTTATTTACCCAACAGGCATGCATTAGTCTACTGTAGTCTGTCTTACTCGATAGAGCCGAAACGCCGAAACGCCCTTGGTTTTGGCATTGTTTGGGACAGGCAGTTCGGAGATTATTGATTTTTAGATTAATATGCAGTAGTCTAAATCTTATGACGTACAGCGGTAGAAATGTGATGTGTAGATGAGTCTTGAAAACCCGGATACAAGACATAGTCTATAGAGAGACAGACCCATACGCACTAATTTTGTACAGACACGAGATAGCCAATCTTCGCAGCAGCAGTCTCTTCGTCGAAGTGGGATGACACAGCAACAACAATGGTGTTCCGTACTCTCGGGTAGGCACAACGTTACGGACATTGATTGTCATGTAAAACAAATTGCAAGATGTGGGGGATCTCGGCGGATCTGAGACTGTACGTTGATTCGCTGGTCGTTGAATCGTTGGGTAGGTTCGATCGACATCGATAAATCTACAAAAAAATGCCGTTGGGGCGAGGGGGTGGTTACACACCGTTGGAACAGCACCGACAACTAACTACAATCACCGCGAGCACTCATTCGCTTGCCACGCCAGCTGCTTTTTATGATTGGCCTCTCCGCCCTCTCTCGCCGGATCTTGTGCTCCGCCGCCGGCTCGTATCCTCTTGTCTGTGTTAGGGTGTAGGTCATGTCATCGCATGCTATGAAAAATCAGCCGGTCTCGGTCGGTGCAGTTAGCGCCCTCATCGAAAGAGTCAGTCAGCAAACGAAAAATATTCATCCTGGAGCACAGAGGGCTCCATGCACATGGATGCACAATATATACAACCACACAGCAGCATTGGTATCTATTGTCAGCAGCAGCAGCAAGCAGCAGCAGCAGGGATTGTTCCCAGTGCCAGTTAGTGAGATTGATTTACTGCAGAAAACAGAAGACATGTGGCTTCGCTGTTGTACTGCACGCACATTGGTTGATGACCCGGAGTTGAGGAGATCGCTATTTGATTTACCTTTTATCTCTGGCGGAGAACAACAGTCAAATTATTCTGCTCTTCAAAACAAAACGAAAAAAAAAACATGTTTTGCTACGTGTAAGTTGATCGGCCGTTCGATCTTGAGGTGATAGATAGCTGTTCCGTGGAAATAAATGCGAAGACTTTAAAGCCCGCAAAGTCGGCAGCCTTGGTACTACACGCATGCTGCATGCATGGGTATTTTGTATCGTGAGTGCTCACGGGGCTGCTGCACCTACCTGGCTGGGTAGCATCGCCGAAGCGCGTGCGATCAAAGTGCAAGTGCAGCAACCCCACCACCTTAGAAATTCTGTGTTGTAGTGATGCATACGTGGTATGCATGCACACATAATATTATAACATCAATCATCTTTGCGTGTGCGTACCGAAAAGAATGTCTCGTCACCCGCACCTGTGTGCCTCCGTTCTCGCCTCCACCTCTGCCTTAGGCACATGGTTCACAGGCAACGGAGGACCCTGGTGTGTGTTTTGGTGTCTCGCATGGTCATCACTTTCTTACGCTCGCTCCATCTATCTCTCGCCCCCTTGCGTAACACTCGACATCTCTTCTTCATGAAAAAATTATCTGTGAAAATCAGTCAAGCTGTCGGGAGTCCATACGTACGTACACAGCAGCGGCCACAGCCTCTTTAAGCGGACCACAGCAGTACCACCCAAAGCCTTCTTTTTCTTTTTATCTCTCCTCCTCCTTGTTGTTTTTGTCGTCACAAAGACAACTGCTCCGTCACGTAGATAGCCCGTGCTGTGTCTGTCTTCTGTTCTATCCCCAACCCCGCCGCCCCCCGGCCCCTGCTTATGCACGCGAAGCGCAGAGGAGTGCTACGGTATCGTGTGCAAGGAAGGGAGCAGGCAGACTCACCCCGGCTCGTAAAGGGCGCGGATGGAGGGAGCCGTGACCCCACCCTCCCGGGAGGCGATGCAGCTCGAGGAGGGGGATGAGCTGATCTTGGGGGACTACTACTGGATGCAAGATGACTCTGGCAGCGAGGTTTGGAGGCTGGCCGAGGTGCTCGAGCGGGGAGAGGGTGGAAACGTGACTATAAAGCTGGAGGGCGGGGCGGTGATGGAGGTGGACCCGGTGAGTGTTCGTAGCTGAATTCCAATAACGGCAGCAGCATGCGTTGTCGTAACACCTCGCTCAAATCTCGTGTCTCAAAAACACCCGAGACGATCGTAAAATAGAAGTCGATTTATCCCTCTGGCTTCCTGTGCCCATACCTGATGGATTGTCTCGGTACATATTGAGCCGAGCTGGGGTCCGGGCCATGGCTTTTCCGGCAGCGTGCTCTTGTCGCCGGCTCGACAGAGAGTGGTGGATGTATTTGACCGCCTCGTGCTTTGGGAGAAGTGTTCGTGAGCCTTTGAACACGGCCAACGGCGAGAGGCGCGCTGTTGCCCTCTTTCCCACCCAGCGAGAATATCGCGTCCACATTATGACCTCTCTTAACTGTTCAGCCGCAGACCGCGGAAAGGGACTGAAACGCGGACCCCAGCCTCTTTCATCTCAGGTCCAGCTCTTCTTCTCGTCTCCAACCCAACATGGCCTCTTGCGAGTTACGACACAGCCGGGGAACGTAGCTCCCAACGGGCTAGTGCTTTTTACGACACCCCCCCCTACGGCCACACCGCAATTTTTTTCGGTTTGGCAAAAATAAGCGAGTCTTTTGTGTTCTGGACTGCTGCTTCCATCATCGTGAGGAAGAGTATTGGTATTCGGAGGTAGTGTAGTAGCGCGCCGTGGGGCCGCAGCAGCGGTGTCAGCAGATGCGGGTTACTACCATGCACAAGTACCAAGCAGCGCTCATGCAGGCGAACACGCGAGGCGGCGATGCAGCAGCAGAACTCCCCGATCGCCGTTGGCCCTCTCCATTCTCTGGGGAAAAGGGAACGGCTGCGCCTGGCGACAGCACAACCGGGAGCCCGGCTGCCCCGACAGGGACTACTTGGCCGCCGGGGGCGCGGGTCGCGAGGCACCTCATGGCGCGGCCAGTTATGATCGTGCCCTGGGCCCGTAAGCAAGCACCGCCCTCCCCTTCGACTACCTCCCCTTCCACTACCGGCGATGAGGAGTGGCCTTCTCCTGAATCATCGCCGCCTTCATCGGCGGCGGCAGCCGTGCCGGTACTGGCTGCTGTGCGAGATTCGAATTTGGACAAGGGTTCTGCTGTTGTAGCGCGGCGGCTGCGCCAGGCTCCCCCCAAGGCTTGCAAAAATTCGTTCAGGGCGATGGTGGAGCTGGGGTTTGAGGATGATACGCAGGAGGAGATGCGCGCTGCTGCCAGTGCCGCCGCTGCTGCTGTTACTGCTGCAGATGACTCCTCGACGACCCCTGGTTCGGTTAGTAGAGAGATCGGAACAACGGTCCATGTGCATATAGTAGCGCAGGACTTTTTCCTCATTTTCCTCTCAAATATTTGTTCTTCTCGATCATCGTTATGGCTGGAGCGTCATCGTTACGCTTTTTATATACAGCAGTTGCCACCCTAACGGGCGTAACGGGACACATTTTGCTCTCGTTATGGTAATGTAATAGTTGGACGCGTTATTGTTGGGTGACGGCTTTTACCCATGTTTGTGTTCCGCTGTTGAGGGAGTGTGGCCAGTCTTGCTATTCTTTTTCTACAATACTTTGTTTAGCGCTTTGCTTGCAGTAGAAACGTTCTGCCGCCATGAAAACTTTTCGGCGGCATGCTCTACTGTACCAGTCTGTCTCTCGATACTTTAACTCCGCAGGCGCACCTCCCCTACTGAATAGTCTAATTGTTCAGGAGAAGCGTGTGTTTTTCTCCATGGGCTCTCGGAAATTGGCTACCCCTTGGGATGGTATTAAAGTATAACTGTTCTTGTCGAGAGGGAAAGAGTCTCTCGTGCTGTAATAATGAAACACGCACACACACAAAGACACCCATCTATCTCCCTTTCTCTTTGTCTATTGGTTGGTTGGAGGCTTTTTTTTTTTATTCCACCACAACAATGTTCCACCGCCTGTCAAACCGGCTCGTTGGCACAACAGCAGCAGCAGCGTAGAGGGTAGCGGGCAGCCTACTATTTCATTGTTTCGGTTGGGATGTAGTCAAAGTTTCGAAATGTCAGCTTAAAGCTCGCCCTACGCTATCATCTACCCCATCCTACGAAGCGTTGCAGGCAGCAGCCGCTCTGCATATTGTTTCATCTTTTTTGCCGCGGCCATTTCGTGGGCGTGTGGTTCCGGCAATCAATTTCTTCACCCACTGCTTGGTGTGTAGACTAATCTGAGATTTGACCTCCTTGACCCCGAATCAAAATTTGAACTGTACGGAAGTACGGTTGGCAGTGCTCGGAGTGTCGGGTCTCGTATATGTCGCGTTTTCTGCTACTGCTGCTGCTGCTGCTGCTGCTGCTGCTGCTGCTGCTGCTGTTCTACATAACTACGTGATGTCTTCTTTTTTATCGCAAAGACAACGCTGCTCAGCCTTACAGGAGTATACCCGTGTGCAGGTATTTAACAATGTATGTGTGCGCCTGTGCAACGCTTGGGCGTGCAACTAACCTGCTGGAAGAATGTGTGGTCTCTCAGTCGAAGCAATTACTTGGGAGACGGTTTTTGTGTTGGGCGAAAAAGAAGACTTGCGAGGAGGATGAGCAACATCAATCACTTCAGTAAATACCGCCGCGCATGCACACGCATCATCCGGGTGGTTTTGGCCGCAATATTGAAATTGACATGCAAGAGGGGGATTTAAGTCCTGCTGCCACGCCCCTCACGACGGCGTTGCCTAGCCTCCTTCAACACACGCCGGAGGGGTTGTGTGCACCGCGCTCTGGTTGTACCACCCGAGCATCAGCATCACATGAGGATGCAGCGGGGACAGAGCACAACGTGAGGACTTGCGTGCCGTGTGTTCTGTCTGTTGCCAAGTTTTTCATGGAAAGAAGAGTTTTTTTCCCCCGATTTTCGTGCTTGGTTTGCGACTTTGGGAGTATGTATATTGCACAGAACTCTTTCGTGTGTTCACTCATATATCTCCCTTATTCGTCTCTAGGGCGCTCGCTGCGGGTTGATGGTGCGCTAAAGTGAAAAATGGCGAGCATGTGCAAGCCACCGCCGCACGGCGTCTTCTTCCTTTGTGCTTGACCCATGTGTGGACCGGACAACAATGACGTTTAGTTTGCCTGCACTCTCCGACCTTTGCAGACAGACCCGTGCGGAGTGGTTTTGGCTCTGCTTCTCTGTGTTCGCTTGTTTTTTGCCTTACGACGAAGTCCCTGCTTGATCCGTCGCCTGCTGAAGACAACAATGCTGAGCATGTTGTTTTCATGTTCTGTTTCGGAAACAGTTCTCTCCCGCGCTCTCTCTCTCTCGTGGGTACGTGAGAGGCAAAGGACATGCGCTCCAATGGTCGAATCGAGCGAAGAATGTTCCGCAACCGACGAAGAGACGCAAAGCAGCAGTTGAAAAAGAAGAACGCGCGTCCCGTTGGTTGTTCGTTTGAATCGGTCTGGTAGTTCGACTTAACCGCGCCGACGGACTGCCTGCTCCCTCAACTTTCTGCATCACGTCACATTGGAATGATTGCTGCCTCCCGGCAGACGTCCATTGCGCCAGGTCGGGTACTCTCTCCCGCACAAGAAAAAATCAATCCTCCATGTACAAAGCCCGCGCTCTCAGACACATTGAGATACATGCGTTTGCATATGTACCCTCAAATTTGTGCTGTTCCGGCAAAGGGGAATGCATCGCCGCCCTCGAAATCGAACGGGCCGTCCTTGTGCATGGCACCGCCTCCCGCCTTCTCTCTCTTTCGTGTTTTGGGGGTGGATACACACATGCATGAAGCACGTCACACCTGCGAACCAAGTCGCTTTGATATTCGGTGAATCACGGAGTTTATACACGGTCGCCCGGGTTGTCTAGTTGGTATCCTCGAAACCCTCTAGAGGTCAGGTCAGGGGTTTGTATTCCGGCGGAAGCGAGCTTTTCTTGCAAAGTGACTTTTTATCTCGCTTCCGCTCCTGGCCTAGTGGATAGCGCTGGTTCGTGTGTACACAGAGGGAAGAGGGTGCTGAACTCTTCTCGCGTTAAAAATCGAAGGCAAAGTACCGCAGGAAAGGAGGGTAGACAGGGGCTCTTCTGTGTGATTATGGGTTGGAGTGAACGGCACCAGTGCTGTGAGCGCTGATTTGAAGCGAAGACAAAAAAAAAAGAAGTACGCAGCAGCAGAGGTGCCTGTCAGTGCCGCTTGAATGGTGCGCGGAATTGTACTATTATACTTATATATTACTGCTATAGCGCCGGTGTATGTATTCGGCGGGTATGTACGCACTGAATTTCCAAGTCATTCTCAATGTCCAATAGTGCCAGTCAGGTGTAGTGCGGATGCATTTTCTGGGCACATGCCGGCACCGAACAGTTCCTCCTGCTACGATACATACCAAATCCATGAGCCGACCGCTCTCTCCGTGCCTGTTCCCTTGCAACGGGAATGGATTGAAAATTTTGAACTCTCTGACGTAATGAGAAAGCGGACGGGCGCGGAGCACTCATGACGTAATGAAACATGCGTCCGCTTAACACACAGAGATCACGATTCGCGTCGTCTGGACCTCGAAGGACCTTCCCCCGTGAAACCCAATCAATCCATCGAGGTTGCGGTTCCAAAGACACAAGCAGGTTCCGTTTTTTGTACAGCTCCGGCACGGAGGTTTGCTGCTTGTGGGTATGGAGTTTGTCACAAGACCTGTTTTCAACGAACAGATTACCAAGTTTCTCACGATTTTGTCGTCGGCGTTTTGGCGTTTTTGCTACACGACTTTACCGCCGTACTTGTCGCCCGTTTACTCGTCCTAACAACGTGCACATCACCGCCGTGCTGATCATGATGACAATAGTCCCATCACACTACAATATTTACCTCCCTTTGGTTTTTTTGCATCATCCCCCCCTCGTGGTCTGATCTATTATAGAACACTAAAAAATACACGCCGGAGGGGGATCTTGTACAGTGCTGCACCGGGTGACCGCGCGCAGTCGGCTTGTGCCGCGTGGTCCGCCGTTTCTTCTTAAAGTTGGATGCCTACGCTTGTTCTCTGGTATAGCGTGATACCACTACGTTACGGTACTTTAGTGGCGGTACAGTAGACGTTGCCAACTGTGGTTACAGCTGCACAAGTCCCTCCAGCCCCCCCCCCCCCCCCCCCCCCCCCCCCCCCCCCCCCCCCCCCCCCCCCCCCCCCCCCCCCCCCC